TCCTGGTGTGGCACTGTAGGAGAAGCACTAGAACCCAAGGTCAGTTTGAACCACAAAGTTATCAGTTCAAACTTAACCGACGGTGCCTTGGAAACCCTATTCAGGGTCGCTGTGAGTCAGAACCAACTGGACAGCACTTAACAACAACAGCAAATATTACTGAGTAGTCTATGGTCCTGCTGTTGTGCTGCAAGATAATACCCTGGACTGCAAGATCAGTTCAAACCACAGTAGAGGTGCTGCATATTGACCTGAAATAGGCAAAAGCTGGGGAGAAGTCAGCAGCAAGAGCAGGGAATGACACTGGCTGTTTCCAGTTCTCCTATACATGGCTATTGGCCTGAGGGCAGGCGCCATCTAGTACTGGACATTTAGAACTGGGATAAAAGTCAGTATTGACTAAGAGGACCAGAGGGTGGGGTTTGGGGATACCACATTAGCTGAAAATTGAGAGGACTCATCTTGGAATAGAGAAAGTTATACCAAATTCCAAGCATTACTCTGTCCACATCTTTGGCTGATCCTTATACTTTGTATTCTTATTCTTGGGACAGATTCAGAGCAGCCCAGCTAAGGCTAACAGAACTGAAGGGATTTCAGACTCAGTAACAACCTGCAGTATGCAGATGACACAGCCTTGCTTGCTGGAGGAGAATACTGATGAAGATCAAAAACTACAGCTTCAGTATGGGTTACACCTCACTGTAAAAAAAATGAAAATACTCACAACTGGACCAAGAAATAACATCTTGATAAATGGAGAAAAGATTGAAGTTGTCAAAGACTTCATTTTGCTTGGATTCACAATCACTGCTCATGGAAGAACTCAAAAGATGTATCGCATTAGGTATAGCTGCTACAAAAGACCTCTTTCATTTGCTCAAGAGCAAAGATGTTACTTTGAGGACTAAGGTGCACCTAACCCAATTCAGTAGAAGAATCATTGCATTTGAATAACAGTGTTGGAGAATATTGAGAGTTCCACAGACTGCCGGAAGAACAGAATGCCCCGTAGATGAGAGGGTGTAGAGACTTTGTCTCTCATACTCTGGACACGTTATCAGCAGTGACCAGTCCCTGGAGAATAATATGCAGCAAAAAGAGGAAGGGCCCCCAAGTAGATGAATTGATACAGAATCAGGAACAATGGACTCAAACAATGGACAGTGTTTCATTCTGTTATGCATGGGGTCACTATGAGTCAAATTTGGCTCAGTGGCACTTAACAACAGCAACAACCATCTAAGTAAGAGAAGGAGTGTTAATGGTGGTACAGTGGTTACAGTACTTAGTTGCTATCTGAAATATTGTTGGTTCGAGACCACTAGCTGCTTCATGGGTGAAAGATGTGACCATCTGCTTTAGTATGCATTATAACCTTGGAGCTTAGTGGCAGTTCTCCTCTATCATATTGACTTGATGACATTGGGTTTGGTTTTTTTAAGCATAAGGAGTTTATTTTAGGAATGCAAGGTTGGTATAACATTTAAAAAGGAACTAGTGTAATTTAACCATGTTAAAGGAATATGGAAGAAAAAATGTGTGACCATTTTAGTACATTAGATAAAATAATTTGTAAAATTCAATCATCATGATTAAAACAGTCAGAAAAGTGTACCTTGACCACTCCTCGTGGCAGCTGGGTGTTGAGTACAGTGTGTCCGTCACTGAGCTGTGAGCTGGGTAGGCAGTGTGCACCCAGCCTGGTCCAGCCTCTGTGTGAACCTGAGCGCCACTCCTCTGATTCTGCACCGGTGTTGAGCCCACCCTGCCTGGGATGATGGTGAAATATTTCCTGAACCAAAGCATGCTCCATACATAGTTCCTGGGACCGAGTAGTCACAGCCTTCTGGCAGCAATACCCAGATCCCTACAGAAAACATGTCTTGATGGAAGACCTAGTACATCAGAAAATGAACTCCTGTCCAGGTGATTCCTAAACAAGAACACCAGGATGACCCTGTTTCCTTCAGGTGTTGTTTACTCGGTGTACATTCTGGAGGACTCTGTTGTGGACTCAAAGAATCAGACAAGGACCATTTTCACCTGGAACGTCACCCACACCTGGCTGATGGTGGAGGAACACAATGTTTACTGTGTGAACTCTGATAGCAGTAGCTGGACCCCAATCCACCCGGAAGCCTGGGTTTCTTTATGCTTGTTTGGCATTTCCAGAGCAGTCCAGGAATTTGGTCTGGCCAGGCTTAAAAAGCAATGTAACCAAAAGTGTGGTTTTTTAGTATACCTTGGCCAAGCTGCAAGGTGAGGCCCCTTCTAAAAAACTTGTTGAAACCACCATGGAAGCCCAGGAAAAGGGCAAAGGAGATGACACTGGCAGCTACAGAAAAGACCAAGGATCCTGCCACAAGGCAGCCACCAAAAAGCAGCAATTCCTATAGCCAGCCTAGGTCCTTCCCACTACTGCACACTAGACTGTCCAGCTTCAACCTCTCTGACCTGTCTCCAGTGGACTTCCTTATTAAATAAAAATCAATGTCCAGTCCTATCCAATGCCTGGGAGTGGGTGGAGTTGGGGTGGGGGACACCAGGGATCCTTAAATCATGTAGTAGAGGTAAGTCAAACAGTACTGGTACAGAATCAGAAATTTTTATTAAACAGAAAAATTTGAATGTGAACCTGTTGTTGCTTGACCAAGCACATTAGCTATGTCTGTGCCAGACCTGCTTATTCCCCCATTGGACAGCTGAGGTACAGATAGGTGCTCGGGGTCAGTGTACACGTGAAGTAAATGTTAGACCATTAACTCTGTGAATGCGCTCTGATGAGTCCCAATTTCCTGAAACAATATTTAACACATAATAGGCACTCAATAAGTACTTGTTTAATAAAACCCCACAAACTGTCTAATATTAGATATTGTTGAGAACTTTTTAATCTAAAGGGCATCCCATCTGTGGAAAAAATTGGGCTGTGAACCTTAAGGTCAGCGGTTCGAAACTACCAGCCGCTCCGCAGGAGAAAGATGAGGCTTTCTACTCCCGTAAGGATTTACACCCTCGGAAACCCTGTACAGGGTCGCTATGGGTCGGAACCGACTCGACGGCACTTAACAACAACAACAACAACATATTTAATGGGAAAGCACTGGACTAAAATTAGGAACAAAGTAAATGTGTCCAGTATCACCCTGAGTCAATCTTACAGAAACACTGCAGCAAACCGAGAGGCAGATGGAAAAACTTGTGACAATGAGTATATGGTAATCATTGAATCAGAGAAAAATAAATATGGGAATTTTATTCTCAGAACCAAATATAAATTTACAAATTTTGCCAGTGTAGAAGTAGTTTAAATACTAGAAGTCAAGGGGAAAAGGAAAGAGAAATAGTACAAGTTTACTGATTTCCCAGTGGATGGCTGAGTAAAAAGTTATTTAATTACATAAAACATTATGTAATTGAGTCTCCTTACTGCCAAGTCAATTCCATCTCTGTGACCCTATGGTGGTCACCAAGTCAATTCTGACTCTTAGCAGCCCTTTGTAGCATTTTCAAGACTATAAGTCTTTGAGCAGAAAGCCTCATTTTCCTCCTGCAGAATGACTAGTAGATCTAAGCTGCTGACTTTGTGGGGATAGCAGGGCTCTGTCAGCGACCCTTTGTTGTTGTTAAGTGCCATCGTGTTGGTTCTGACTCATAGTGACACTGTAGGACAGAGTAAAACTGTTTCTGAGGGTAGCCAAGGTTATAAATCTTTATGGAAGCAGATTGTCTCCACCTTTCCCCACAAGTGCCTGCCGAACTTTTGACCAAATGCTTAACCCATTGTGCTACCAGGGATCCTTAAAATCATGTAATGGAGTTAACTCAAATAGTATTCGTACAGAGTCAGAAACTTTTATTAAACAGAAAATTAAAATGTGAAGCTATTATTTGTTGACGTATCATCCATTTAGGTCTATCCACTTCTGAAGGGAGTGTTTCTCTAACCCATACGTACCTGGATTTAAACATGTATAAACATGTCTCTGTGATCAGTGGAAGGCTACAGAAAGTTCTATCAGTAACATACTTAGTCTCACTTGGGTACCTTCAAAGAAAAAACAGATACAATCCAAATAGTGGCTTTCGAGAGGATCTTATGGGCCAGTTAAATTCAATTCAGAGAGGTCAACTTAGAACGTCACAGTGGATGTTTTAAGGAATGTGCTGGACTGCAAAGTCTGTTTGAACTGCAAGGTCAGTGGTTCAAGCTCACTGGCTGCTCCTTGGAAACCCTATACAGGGTCGCTATGGGTCAGAACCGACTCAGTGGCACTTAACAACAACAACAATCTTGACAGATGCTTTTGAAAGATAACAGTGGGCTTATTATGCAGAAGCTTTAAGAAAATTGAAAACTGCATTAGTGAGAAAAAGGCCAGGAAAGTTGCACTGAAGAATCTTATTTCTGTCCCAGCAATGAGCCTGCTCATTCTTCTGGTCGTATGAGAACTTTGCTGGGCAATCTTTCACCATCTCCTTATAACCCTGATCTTGCCCTTTCAGACTTCTTTTCTCCAAACTCAAAAAATAATGAAAAGAAACACAGTTTGAGCCCCTTGAAGATGCAAAACCTGCCATTTTGACGTGGCGGAAATCAGAGAGCACAGAATTCTTTCATGAAGGGTTACAGAGTTGGAATAAACCTACACAGAGGATCTGTTGAAAAACAAGAGCTTCACCTTTTGATATTTTTGTTTAATAAAAGTTCATGATTTTATAATACTTTTTTACTTATCCTCATACTTGTATGAAAGAAAGTCTTTACTGTAGTACTTGGGTTCATCAACCAATAAAAATTTAGTTTGGCTAAGTCCAAATTAAGGAGTCTCGGTGGCACTGTCAGGTAAGCACTGGATTGCTAACCACATGGTCTACAGCTGTGTGTTTTGATTTTAAATCCAAATTAAAGCATTGTCTAAGTGCATCTGAATATGTTATATTTCTGTTATCTAGCATTATCTTAAATGTTATTTCTATTTTTGTGACAGGAAATTTTTAAAGAGCAACTTTCACCAAAAAAAATGGGCTTCTTAAATGTGACAGAACTTGTTGGAGCTCTTAGTGACATTCTCCGTGTTGAGTTCAGGGAAGGAGAACAAGATCTAGTAGTGTTTGATGCTGATATGAAATGTCTACCACCTGGTGAGCTGAACCACTTCATGATACAAACTTGATTTTTAATGTGCCCTTTGTAAGAAAAGGGAAAAAAGAAGGCTCTGGTTTCATAGGATTCTTTATTATAACCAAACATATCATAAAGTGGCCATGAAGAAGTTTTATGAATAATGACTTTCTTGTGATGCTGGTTGTAAAAAAGTTAATTTGTTAAAGACTATCTGAATTTTAAATTTTACTTAATTATCCAGAGTTTTAGATACTTTTATAGGAAACCAGCTTTCTGAACGTCTGGTAGGAAAGTACTGGACAATTTAACGGTTCTTAACCTTGACTGTGCAGCACAGACAGGGTCGTTATGGGTCTGAACTGACTTGACGGCACTTAACAACGACACACACATATATAATCTCTATATAGCTGGAATTTTTTAAAATTAGAAAAGCAGTATAAAAAAACTAGTATATACTTGTTAAAAAATTCCATTAATACGGAGATAACTGGTGTTATAGTTTTTATAGGTGTCTTTCTGAAAAATTCTGTGTACTTACTAATTAAGTATATAATTTGTCTAACACAAAACTACTATATACATATTGTATAAGCCACAGATTTTTATCTTTATATATTGTGAATGATTTTACATGTCAGTATATATGAGGGAACTTCAAGAAGTTCAAGGAAAAATTCAATTATCTTTAAATTCCGTTCTTCGACAAGCTTTTAGAAGGCCCTTTATATAGATAGGTTTATTTCCTCCTCTTTAGCTGCATAGAATTCTTTTATGTGGCTATATTATAATTAATTTAACCAGGCTGCTATTGATGAGCATCTAGATTATTTTTACTTTCCACTATTATTAAAAAGTAATGATAAATGTTGTTATACTCATGTCTTTGTACACTTACTAGTTTATTTAAGAGCTACTGTGGGTCTGAGACTATCAGGGGTCTGTTTTAATGTGCCAATCTTCTTATCATCATTCCCATATAAATCTTAAAATAATATGTGACGGTTTTGGAAATCCACTAAGAATTAAAGCATCATATTATGCCTCGTGGCTCCATACAATAAACCCTGGACTGTGAACCACAAGGTTTGGGGTTCAAGCCCGTCAGCCACTCTGTGGAAGAAAGATGAGACTTTTTGCTCCCACGCAGATTAACAGCCTCAGAAACCCTATACAGGGTTGATATGAGTTGGAACTGACTCGATGGCACTCAACAATAGCAGTTATGGAATGAGCGTTAAATAGTCACATTGTGCATTAAAAGAAGAGATATACGGTAGCACAGAATGTTCACTGCTTAATGAGCAGAAGTAAATTCAAGTCAGGATGTTGAAAAGTGCAGTCACAGTTTCAGATGTATTACCAGCCCATAGCACCACCCTTTCACAATCATTATTTAACATTGATTCCAGAGTTTCTGCTGTAGCTCTCCACACAGAAAGGGCTGTAGGATAGGCTCAGATCTTTTATTTTTCTGTGCCTGGCACATGAAAAGTGCTTAATAACCATTGTGTACATTGTTTTAACAAATATGCATAGCCTACTTTATTGGCCATTTCAGATGGAGCTGTTTCACCAGTCAGGAATTCATACTTAGTTCAGCCAGATAAGAAAATAGAAGCCAAAGCCAACCCCCCTAGAAATTCACTGTCTACTGGTGATGTCAAGGAGACGACTTGGAATAGTCCTTCGAAAAGTCATAAAGAGCCAGGAAAGAAGATTTACAAGAAGCCTAATCTTGTGGTAAAGCCTTTACAACTGGTGAGTGATGTTTATAGACTGTGCACTGTAGATTCGGCAGCATGGAAAGTAGTAGGATGAATGCGTTTTTAAGCCAAAACTCTTTTTAGGAAAAGTCTTAATTTCTAGATAAACCATTTCTAGAAGACCAGTCATCAGTATGAAGTCACCTTATTATGCAGCATTTCTTCTAGTTTTCATCTTTTATTTAAGTAGCTTTCCCTGAAGTCTCATTTTCAAGTTTTCAGATGGTTTAGAAGTTTTGATAGTTCTATCAAGATGACATTGCTGATTCTGTGTCATTGTGTTTGAAAATACAGGTTCGAAAAATCTTGAAGGCTTTAGGACGAAACAATTGGGGAGAGCTCTGATTTGGCTGTATGGCTCAACAACTTTTGTAAATGGCCTTTGCACCTATCCTTAATTATCCAATGCTTTTATTTATTTCTTTTCTCCTTAATTACATCTCCACACTTTTTGCCTCTGTGTTCTCATTTCCCTTTACTTTGTGTTATTAAGTAATTAATTGTAATTCTTTCTTTCTGCTTGCTGTACCTGACTTCTTTCATGGAGGGAAAAACTATTGTTTGGAGAGCCTAGTATTTTATTAGGGTAAGTCAAAAAGTATTGCTACAAAGTCACAGAGACTTTCATTAAATAAAAATATCAAAGCGTGAAGCTATTGTTTCTCAGCATATTTTCTGTCTATACCTATACACTTAGGAAGGCAATGTTGTTTCCGTGTTTCTAACCCTTCCCTCAAAGAATTCTGCATTCAGATTTATACCATGTCAAAATGGTAGTTTGGGCATCTATGAAGGATGCAAATCATGTTCCTTTTCAATGTACTTTGATTTGGGGAAACAAAATGGATTCTCAAGGGGCAAGATCAAGGCTGCAGGGTGAATGGGATAAAGTTTTCCAACAAAATTCTTGTAGGACGTTCCTTGCTACCCTGAAAGAATGAGCAAGTGCATTGTCCTAATGGAAAAACAATTCCTTGGCACAATTTCTTGGCCTTTTTCTCACCAGTGCGGTTTTCAGTTTTCCTAAAACCTTTTTATAATAATAAGTCCCCATGATTGTCCTGTGCCCTTAGAGAACATCTGTCAAGAGTTTCTTTGTTGTTGTTGTTGTTAAGTGCCGTTGAGTCGGGTCCGACCCATAGCGACCCTGTACAGGGTTTCCGAGGGTGTAAATCTTTACGGGAGTAGAAAGCCTCATCTTTCTCCCGCGTAAAACAGTTGCCATCACCTTCTGAGCCTTGAATTTAACTGGCCCAAAAGATCCCTATAAGAGTCACTGTTTTGATTGGCTTGTTTTTTGTTTTTTCAAGATACCTTAATGCAACTAAGACAAGTGTTTTACAGAGAGAACTTGTCTGTAGCCATCCACTGATCACAGAGACGTGTTTAAACACATTTTGCTTTTAATAAACACATGTGTCTGTGAACTGGAACCCTTGTAGCAATACACTGTAACTTACCCTTATATTTTCTGGAGAACAATAAAATGTCAGTGAGGAAATGATATATTTTAGAGTGATTATGTTTAAGAGACAGTATGTTTTATCTGAAGTATATTGTTGTTGTTAGGTGCCATTGAGTTGGTACTGACTCATAGCGACCCAATGCACAACAGAACAAAACACTGCCTGGTCCCGGGCCAACCTCACAATCGCTGCCATGCTTGAGCTCATTGCTGCCACCACTGTGCCAGTGCATCTTGTTGGGGGGTCTTCTTCTTTTCCTTCACCCCCCACTTTACCAAATGTGATATCCTTCTCCCGTGACTGGTTCCTCCTGATAATATGTCCAAAGTATGAGAGATGAAGTCTGGCCATCCTGGCTTCCAAGGAGCGCTCTGGCTGTACTTCTTCCAATACAGATCTGTTGGTTCTTTTGGGAGCCCATGATACTTTCAATATTCTCCAACACCATAACTCAAAAGCATCAATTCTTCTGTGGTGTTCCTTATTTACTGCCCAACTTTCATACACTCATGAGGTTATTGAAAATACTATCTCTTGGTTCAGGTGCATTTTAGTCCCCAAACTGTCATCTTTGCTCTTCAACCTTTAAAGAGGTCTTGTGCAGAAGATTTGCCTAATGCAATACATCGTTTGATTTCTTGACTGCTGCTTCCATGAATGTTGATGACTGGTCTGAGTAAAATGAGGTATTTGACAGCTTCAGTCTTTTTCTCCATTTATATGGATGTTGTTTATTTGTCCAGTGGTGAGGAGTTTTGTTTTCTTTACATTGAGGTGCAACCCATACTGGTGGCTGTGGTCTTTGATGTTTATCGGTAAGTATTTTTAAGTCCTCTTCACTTTCAACAAGCAAGGTTGTATCATCTGCATACTGCAGGTTGTTAATAAGTCTTCATCCAAGCCTGATGCCACATTTTTCATCATAGAATCCAGTTTCTCGGAATATTTGCTCAGCATACAGATTGAATAAGTATGGTGAAAGAATACTAGCACACACCTAATTTTTAACCATTTGGTGTTCCCTTGTTCTGTTTGAATAACTGTTTCCTGGTCTATGTACAGGTTTCTCATGAGCACAATTAAGTGTTCTAGAATACTCATACTTTGCAATGTTGTCCAAAGTGTGTTATGATCCACACAATCATAGTCAATAAAGACACGTAAACATCCTTCTGGTAGTCTCTGCTTTCAGCCATGATCTGTCTGACGTCAACAGTGATATCCCTCATTCCACATCCTCTTTTGAATCCTGCTTGGACCTCTGGATGTTCTCTGTCAGTATATGCTTGCAGCTGTTTTTGGATTAACTTTAATAAAACTTTACTTGCGTGGGATATCAGTGATATGACCAATGATTTCCACATTCCATTGGGTCACCTGTCTTTGGACTGGGCACAAATATGAATCTCTTCCAGTCATTTGGCCAGGTAGTCTTCCAAATTTTTTGGCACAGATGAGAGAATCCCTCCAGTGCCGCATCAGTTTTTTGGGAGATTTCAATTTGTATTCCATTTATTCCTTTAGGATCATTGACTCTTGATTATATGCTATCTCTTGAAATGGTTGAACATTGACCATTTCTTTTTGGTATAGTGACTCTGTATATTCCTTTCATCTTCTTCTTTTGCTGCTTTCTGCATCATTCAGTATTTTGCCCATGTTTTGTTGTTAAATGCCATCAAGTCAGTTCCAATCCATAGCCACCCTGTATAGGGTTTCCAAGGAGCAACTAGTGAGCTTAAACCACTGACCTTGTGGTTCAAATCTACTTTGTAGTCTAGTGCATTAATCCACAGAGCCACACCAGGAGTCTATATTTTGCCCATAGAATCCTTCAATACCACAAGTCAATGGTAGATTTTTTTCTTCAGTTCTCTCAGCTTGAGAAAAGGTCAATGTGCTCTTCTCTTTTGGTTTTCTAACTCCAGGTCTTTGCACATATCATTATAATATTTAACTTTGTCTTCTTGAGCTGACCTTAGACATTTTCTGTTCAGCTCTTGTACCTCCTCACTTCTTCCATTTGTTTTAGCATCTCTATGCTGGAGAGCAAGTTTCAGAGTCTCTTCTGATGTCCAATTTGGTCCTTTCCTTCTATCTTTTCATCTTAGTGACCTTTTGCTTTCTTCCTGTATGATGTTCTTGATGTCATACCATGACTCTTATTTTTAGTGTTTGGTCTTTAGTGTCTGATGCATCAAATCTGTTCTTGCAATGACCTCTAAATTCAGGTGGGATATATTTGGCTGTCATGGAACTGATTTAATTTTCTTCAACTTTAACCTGAATTTGCATATGAGTAACTGATGATCTGTTCTACAGTTTGCCCCTGGCCTTGTTTTGACTGTTGATAAAGAGCTTTTCCACCATCTCTTTTTACAGATGTAGTCAATTTGATATCTGCTGGTGAGGTCCGTGTGTGTGTGTGTGTGTGTGTGTGTGTGTGTGTATAATTGTCTTTTTTGTTGTTTAAAAAAAGGTATTTGCAATGAATAAGTCATTGGTCTTGCAAAATTCTATCATGTGACCTTCCAGCATCATTTCTTTGCCCAAGGCCATATTTTTCAAGTACTGATCCTTCCTCTTCTTTTCCAACCTTTGCATTCCAATCACTAGTAATTATCAGTACATCACAATTGCATGTTTGATCTCTTTCAGACTGAAGAAGTTGTTAGAATTCTTCAATTTCATCATCGCTGGCTTTAGTGGTTGGTGCGTAAATTTGAATAATAGTAGTAGTAACTGGTTTTCCTTTGTAGTTGTATGGATATTATCCTATTACAGACAGCATTGTACTACATGACTGATCTTGCTGGGTTCTTTTTGATTACGAATGTGATGCCATTTCTTGTCAATTTTTCATTCCTGGCATAGTAATCTATGTGATTCTCAAATTCATAATGGCTAATACCAGTCCATTTCTGCTCACTGATGCCTAGGATATTGATGTTTATGTGTTCCATTTTGTTTTTTATAATTTCCAATTTTTCTATATTCATACTTTGTACAGTCCATATTCTGATTACTAATGGATGTTTACAGCTGTTTCTCTTCATTTTGAGTTGTGCCCCATCAGCAAATGAATGTGTCCCAAAAGTTTTACTTCATTTGTGTCATCACGGTCAGCTCTACTTTGAGGAGGCAGCTCTTCCCCAGTCATATTTTGAGCACTTTCCAACTTGAAGAGTTCATTTTCTGGCAATATATCTGACAATACTCTGGTGCTCTTCATCATGTTTCAATATTCAATAATCTGGTGCTGACAGTGTTCCAATGCTATTGATAAGGTTTTCAGTGACTAAATATTTGGAAGTACTCTGTCTGTCCTTCTTCCTTGTCTTTCTTCGTCTGGAAGCTCATCTGAAACCTATTTACCATGGTTGATGCTGTTGGTATTTAAAATATCCATGGTGTAGTTTCCAGAATCATAGCAACACACAAGCCGCCACAGTATGACAAACTGACAGACATATGGTGGCTTAGAAGTAGCATCTGAACTTTAATCCATTCCTTTAGGTTATCTTTGATTGTTGGTAAGAATCTATTTTAGCTCAGTATGAATATTTGAAATGTCATGTTTTAAGTTCTGTATGTTGTTGTTAAGTGCTGTTGAGTCTGTTCTGATCTATAACGACCCTGTATAGGGTTTCTGAGGAGCAGCTGGTGAGTTTGAACCACCGATCATGTAGTTCAGATGGCTTTGCAGTCTGGCTCATTAACCCACAGCATCACACCAGGATTCCAATTTCTGTATTGTTGTTAAGTGCCATCAAGTCGATTCTGACCCATAGCAACCCTGTATAGGGTTTCCAAGGAGCAGCTGGTGAGCTTGAACCACCGACCTTGCAGTTCAAACAGCTATGCAGTCCGGCACATTAGCCCCAGCGCCATACCAGGACTCCAATTTCTGTATAGGACACTTTAAAACTCTTTGTTTTAGATCATAAGGCAGTGTTTTTTTAAATTTTAACATAGGTGAGAGTCACCTTGGGAGTTTCCTAACTGCATAATTATAGGCTCTGTTCCCATGTATTATGATTCAGGAAGTCTGCAATGTTAGACTTTCCCAGGTGATTCTCTTAAAGGCAATTAATAGAATTTATTTTGGGAAACACTATCATAGGGCTTAAATGTCACACAAAGATTCATAGTGGTTTCTGATATATATATTTTTTTAACTTGTAGCAAGTAGGAATAAATACACCACAGCTCAACCTGGAAATGGCAAATCATGATATCCCACCAGATGCTGTACGGGACAAGAAATTATGCAGACTTCCACCACTAGATACCAGCACCCTCATAGGAGTCTTTGTGGAGTATATCATCTCTCCCAGTCAATTCTATATCCGAATCTATAGCAGGGATTCATCAGAGTTACTCGAAGATATGATGATTGAAATGAGGTAGGAGTCTATTTTCTTGAGCGTGTTTTTCATGTTTCTTGCTCTTAACAGGCAGTTCTCAAACATTTTGGTCTCAGGACTCTTCAGAATTGAAGATCCAAGAAAACTTTTGTTTATCAGTACTTTCTGTATATAAACAAAAACTATTAAATATTTTAAATATTGTTTAAGGATAATCCATCATATATTAGTGTAAACAACATTTTTAGGACAACTAGCCTCTGTTTCATACTGTTCGAATTTAAATTTGGAGGCTTAGAAGGGAAGCAGGGAGATAGAGATTGTCATTAATTTTTTATTAGTAGTATAAATCATGAAAATGGATAAGTCACAGGAAGAATAAGAATAAATAGCTAATAAGTGTTTATTATATTTTGCAACTGCCTTAAACCTTCATGTATTTTCATTAATTTAACTTTTATGGCAGGTGTATAAGGTAAATTTTATTATCTCCATTTTATGAACAAAGAAAGTGAGATACAGAAAGATAAAATATTATAGCTAGTAAATAATGAAGGCAGAATTTGAACCCAGGGTTACTGGTTCCAAAGACTGAGCTCTTATATTATACTTCCTAAAGATAAAAACCCATGTTATTGTGTTGATTCTGACTCATAGTTACCCTTTGTAGGGTTTCTAAGACTATAAATCTTTATAGGAGCAGAAAGTCTCCTCTTTCTCCTTCAGAGAGCCATGCGGATTTGTGGTTAGTACCCAATGCATGACCCAATATGTCACTTCAGAAATCCTAATAGAGTTACAGAGTCAATAAAGGAATAATTATTGAAGAGGAAGAAGTAGGAGAGAATTGTGTGTTGGAAACTAAGGTAGGATAGAATTTAAAAGAGGCCAGAATCAAGGTAGTACTGCAGAGAGATCAAGTATATTGAAAGCCAGGAGAGAGGCTAATGGATTCAGAAATTAAGAGATCATTGATGGTTTATAAAAGTTCATTTTAGAGAGTGCTAGAGAATAGAATTAGGTTTCACTATGTTTTACAGAGGATGCTAGATAAGAAAATGAGTGTATAAGTTTCTCTTTGAAGAAGTTTGCTGATGAAGAGATTTGCATAAGAAAAATAAAATAAAATTAATTGGAATTAATAAAACATTTAATAAATTAGGAAAAGTCAGAATTTTTTCTTTGTTGTTTACCAAGACTATTTTCCTTTTGAGACATTGATAAAAATATTGTTTAATTTTGATTCCTCTGTGGGTTTTATGGAATTTCACAGGCGCTGTTATTCTAATCAGCTGGTTTCTGATCGATATGTCATGCCAGAATATTTCATCCAACCAGGACATCTCTGTTGTGTGAGGATTTCTGAGGATAAGTGGTGGTATCGGGTCATTATCCATCAAGTTCTTGGGAAGCAGGAAGTTGAAGTGTTTTATCCAGACTTTGGGAATATTGGAACTGTCCAGAAGTCCTCCCTGAGATTTCTTAAGTAAGTTAACATTTTTAATAAGCATAATTGATAATATAAATTTTGGATCATAATACTTAAACTTGGTGACATTTGAATCTTTTCCTTCTTCCTTCTTAGTGCAGACTTGGCAAAGATAATTTAATTTCACAGGTGGATTATAATCTCTTACTTCTTTACAAGATTGAATTTGAATAGATCATGTGATTAAACTTCCATCTCTTAAGAAAATACAATAACTAAAATGAAGAAATGAATTAGATAGTCTGTAAAATGCAGTTTAAAAAATTTGATTTAATATTTGTATATTTGATTTTCTTTTGCAGATGCTGCTACACAAAGCTTCCAGCACAGGCTATCCCTTGTTCTTTGGCTTGGGTGAGACCTGTAGAGGTATGTTTGCTTGTTTCCCATTAGACTAGCAAGGATTTAATTGTTGCTGTTAGGTGCCATCAAGTCGGTAATACTCATAGTGACTCTGTGCACAACAGAAGGAAACACTGCCTGGTCCGGCACCAACCTCACAATCTTGGCTATGCTTGAGCCCTTTGCTGCTGTCATTGTGCCAGTCCATCTTGTTGAGGGTCTTCCTCTTTTTCTCGCACCATCCACTTTACCAAGCATGATGTCCTTTTCCAGGGACTGGTCCCTCCTAAGATTATGTCCAAAGTATGAAAGACAAAGTCTGGCCATCCTGGTTTCCAAGGAGCACCCTGGATGTACTTCTTCTAACACAGACCTGTTTGTTCTAAAAGTCCATGTAGCTTTTAATATTCTCCTCCAACCCCATAACTCAAATGCATCAAATCTTCAGTCATCCTTATTCACTATCCAGTTTTTACACACATGTGAAGTTATTGAAAATACCATGGCTTAGATCAGGAGCATCTTAGTCGCCAAACTGACATCTTTGCTCTTCAACACTTTAAAGAGGTCTTGTGCAGCAAGCAGATTTGCCTAATGCAATACATTGTTTGATTTCTTGACTGCTGCTTCCATGAGTGTTGATGGTAGATCCAAACAAAATAAAGTCTTTTGACAACTTCAGTCTTTTCTCCACGTATATGGATGTTGTTTATTGGTCCAGTGGTGAGGATTTTTCCTTTCTTTACATTGAGGTGTAACCCATAGCGATGACTGTGATTTTTTTTTCCCTTAAATGTTTTATTGTGAATTATGTGATAGTTTACATGGGAAAACATTAGTTTTACATTCATTCTATCGTATATCGTCTCATTGCCATGGGACTGTGATTTTTAATCTTCATCAGTGATTATTTTAAGGCCTCTTCACTTTCAGCCAGCAAGGTTGTCAATGATTCTTCCTACAATGCTTGATATAATCCAGCTTCTCAGATTATTTGTTCAGCATATAGATTGAATAAGTATGGTGAAAGAATACAACCCTGGCACACATTTCCCCTAATTTTAAACCATTCAGTGTTTCCTTGTTCTGTTCGAACAACTGCCTCTTGGTCTATGTACAGATTCTTCTTGAGCACAAGTAAGAGTTCCAGAACACTCATTCTCTGCAGTGTTGTCCATAGCTTGTCATGACCCATGCAGTCTAAAGCCTTTGCATGGTCAATAAAGCACAGGTAAACATCTTTCTGGATTTGTGCTTTTGGCCAATAGCCGTCTGACATCAGCAATTATACTCCTCGTTCTACATCTTTGTCTGAATCTGGCTAGAATCTCTGGCAGTTCGCTCTCTTAATGTACTGTTGCAGCTATTTTTTGAATTATGTTTAGCAAGATTTTACTTGCATGTGATATTAATGATACTGTCTGATGATTTCTGCATTCTTTTGGGTCACCGCACTTGAAATGGGCACAAATATAGATCTTTTCCAATCAGTTAGCCTGGTCTTCCAAATATCTTGGCATAGATGAGTGAGTTTCTTCAATGCTACATCAGTTTATTGAAATATTTCAATTTGTATTTCATCTAGTCCCAGTGCCTTGTTCTTTGCCAATGTGTTCAGTGTACCTTGGATTTCTTCCTTCAGTATCATTGGCTCTTGGTCATACGTTGCCTCATGGAATTGTTGAACATTGACCATTTCTTTTTGGTACAGTTACTCTGTATTCCTTCCATCTCCTTTTGATGATTTTGCATCATTCAATATTTTGCCCATAGAATCCTTCAGTATTGCAAATCAGAGCTTGAATTTTTTCTTCAGTTCCCTCAGCTTGAGAAATGCTGAGTGTGGTCTTCCCTTTTGGTTTTCTAACTTTGGGTCTTTGCACATTTTCTTATAATATTTTACTTTGTCTTCTCAAGCTGCCCTTTGAAATTTTCTATTCAGCTCTTTGCCTCCTCACTTCTTCCATTTTTTGTAGCATCTCTATGTTGGAGAGCAAGTTTCAAAATCTCTTCCGACATCCATTTCGGTCTTTTCCTTTTTTCTTGTCTTCTTAATTATCTTTTGCTTTTTTTTCCTGTATGATGTTTTTTTATGGCATCCCACAACTCTTCTTGTCATTAGTGCCTAATGCATCAAATCTGTTCTTGAGAGAATCTCTAAATTCAGGTGGAATGTGTTCAAGGTCATATTTTGGCTCTTCTGGACTTGTTTTCATTTTCTTCAGCTTTTGTTGGAACTTGCATATGAGCTATTGATAGTCTATTCCACAGTCTCACTTGGCCTCGTTTTGGCTGATGATAAGAATGATCTCAGGATATAAAAATTATACTAGCCTGCGAAAGAAATCGTATACATTTGAAATATGGACATGTAGATGAATTCTAGGAGCTCTGGTAGCGTAGTGGTTACGAATCGGGCTGCTAACCTCACAGTCAGCAGTTCGAAACTACCAGCTATTCCCCTGGAGAAACAGGAGACTTTCTGCTCCCATAAAGATTTACAGCCTCGGAAACCCTGTGTGAGGTTGCTATGAGTCGGAACTGACTCCATGGCACATAACAACAAGAAGAAGATAAATTCTAGTACCTTGTTATATTTGTTACACTAGAGTTTTTACAGTGAATGGTAGAGGTGTTTACAGTGAATGGTAGAGGTGTAAATGCAAAAGCACCAATCTCTGTCCATGATAATCAGGAAAGGCCTCTTAGGAGAGGTACATTTGAGTATAAGAGCAGGAATATAACTGGACAAAAAAGTTTAAAATCACTGTCAGTGAAAAGTGTGCTGGCTGAAAATATCTCAAATTTGAGGGTTGTTCCATAGTTTGTTTGGCTACAGAATATGGCATGGACTTGAGTGGGCACATGACAAGTGACATCGGACGAGTAAGTAGGAGGGAACCTAATGTGGAGGTTTATGTTGAAGAATTGTCCTTTAGATGACTGGAAACAACTGAAAGGTGTAAATAGGAAACCGCTACAGTTAGATGTATGTTTCATAAAATAATTCTCTAATAATATTGTGGGAGGTAGTTGGAGTGGAATGGATCTAAAGACATTTTCATCTATATAGGTACATTTGTTTATGTAGTTATCATTATATGTACCTAAATGGAATTATATATTTCTTTTTCTTTTGTTTTTACCATATTTTTAAAGAAAGTTGATATTCACTAAGGATGACAAAACATTGCAAAAATAAGAATAATTCATTTATATATAAGCGGTTGAATTCTTTAGGTTAAGCAGGAAAAAAAAAACAGTATATGTATAATATGCATAATTAAGAATTCACGCAGAAACACATCCAGTTTAGAAATTTGGTGTGTGTTTTTTCCATATTGTTTTATTGGATGTTGGAGTTGAGCGTATGTGTTGGGTTTTCTAGCCTATATAATAGTTGTTGTCATTGCTAAGTGCTGTTGAGTCGGTTCCGATTCATAGCAACCCTGTATAGGGTTTTCGAGGAGGGCTGGTGAGTTTGAACTGCCAACCCTGTGGTTCAAATTAACCTCTAGGTTGAGTGCTTATCCTACAGCACCACACCTGAATAATGGGAGATACACTGAGACGTTATCACAGTTTTAAATTTTAATGGCTTCATGGTAACTTATTGTGTAAATGTGCACCATAGCTTGTTTAACCATTACTTTATTATTGGACTATTTGCTTCTACTTTTTTTAATATTATAAATAATGTATTCAATGTATGCTTTTTGTACAAATCTATATTCAGCATTTTTTCCTAGAATGAATTTTAGTTTTGACAAGGTTTCTTTTTTGGAGTCCTGATGTATCCCTGTATAATAAGCACTGAACTGCTAACCACAGGTTGATAGTTTAAACCCACCATCCACTCCTGGGAAACCCAATACAGGGTACAAGAAGAAGGTTTCTTTTTACTACATTGGCTATCAGGAAGTGTAAAGCTAAATGTGCGACCAAAGGTAGCAAACAGAGTCCTGGTGTGGTGCTGTAGGGAAAGCGTTAGACTACTAACTGCAGGGTTGTTGTTAAGTGCCATTGAGTCAATTCTGACCCATAGCGACACTGTGTAGTTTCCAAGGAGCAGCTGGTGAGCTTGAACCACCAACCTTGCAGTTCAAACAGCTTTGCAGTCTGGTGTAATTAACCCACAGCGCCACACCAGGACTCCACCAGCCTCTCATTGGAAACCCTATATAGGGTCACTATGAGTCAGAACTAACTCAATGGCACTAAGCAACAACAACATCCATTACTCTCATATCAGCTCAGATAGCGTCTATATTTTGTTCCTACTGTTGTATTTCTTCTTATTTCCTAAACTCCTTCTGGTATTAGGGCCTTTGCCCATTCTGGTAACTGGAATTTCCTGTTCAAAGTATTCTTGTGGTTGACTTACTCTCATTATTTAAATCTAAACTCAAATGCTATTTCCTAAAAAATGACCTCCAATTTAAAGTACACTCTTTCATTTCAATCATTCTTTGTTACCTTTTATTTAGCTTCATGACACTTCTCACTGTCTTATATTATCTTATAGTTTACATTTTTACCTGATGAAAACATTTAGAAACAAGTAGTGGTGTGGTGAGAGTTGTACTACAAAGGGACATAATTATTGTCACTGAATTGTACATGTACACATGTTGGCATGGCAGTTGTTTTGTTATATCCTTACCATAATAAGGATCAACTATCAACACTTGCAGAAGCAGCAGTTAAGAGATCAGACGACGTATTGCATTGGGCAAATCTGCTGCACAGGAACTTTTTAAAGTACTGAAGAGCAGAGATGTCAGCTTGAGGACTAAGGTGCACCTGACCCAAGCCATGGTATTTTCAATAATCTCATATGGATGCAAAAGCTGGACAGTGAATAAGGAAGATCATAGAAGAATTGATGCCTTTGAGTTGTGGTGTTGGAGGAGAATACTGAAAGTGCCATGGACTGCCAAAAGAACCAATAGATCTGTTTTGGAAGAAGTGCAACCAGAGTGCTCCTTGAAGGCCAAGATGGCTAGGCTTCGTCTCTCATACTTTGG